CAGCTGCCCGGAACACCTCTGGAATTCAGTCAGCTGTCCAACCAGTACCCCAGAATTGAAACGCATTTGTTTGTAGTCAGTCTTCATACCCTTGATGATGTCTTTGCGCTCTGGCTGTGGTCCCTGCGTTTCCCTCCGTCTACTTGTGATGTGTCTGTGCTGACTAGACTCACTCAGTCTCTACTGATTTTGGAGATTTGAACTTGGAGTCTGCTTACTTAGAATCACGTTCATCCCCCAAAGAATCAAATGCTCAAGAGAGGAAGCATTATATTACTAGAATTTTAACTATGAATGTCAGAGTACCTTATTTCTTAATAGTGCATAAAAGGTAGTAATTTATATAAACTATTTTTCATTCACCTTGTTTCCATTGTTTATCAAGATTTCCTCCATATCAAGTACCATTGTTTAAGAGAGTAATATTGAGGTGGAGCTAACAATGTAGTAGAAAAAGACCTAAATAAATAAAAAGGTAATTTTTGATGATAATAAATGTTCTTAAACAAGCAATAAAACAAGCACAACAAAGCAGAGACAGCTGCATAGTGGGGTAAAGCTGTTGTAGAGAGTCAGGGAGGATCTCTTTGAGGAAGCTGCCGTTGTTCCAGGACCCAGGTGCTGAGGTCATGGTGAGGAGCACTGTGCAGAGGAGGAAGCAGAGGTGCTGAGTGAGGACAATCTTGGGTGTTCAGAAAGCAGAACGAGCTGCTGTCGTGTGGGTTGTAAAGGAACATGAGCTGTTTTTCTTTTAAGCGGGCATGTACTTCATCTCTGTGAGACAGGTTATATGCCTGGAACAGAGTGATCGAGGTTAGCAAAATATACAGTGTTAATATATACAGTTAAGGGAAATTTCCATAAAAAACCGAGTATGAGTACTCTGATTTCTAAGTTCCAGTGAACCTGCCTCTCCTCTTTTTCACAAATCACTGTTGTGCAATTCAAGATTGATAAATTCTAACATTTTTATAGGACTTTGATTCATTTGAGATTATATATGTTCAGAATTGTGTCCAAATAATTCTTGTAAATTTTAGGTTCATGTTATTTAAATGCATCTTTTTAAAACGCCTTTTTTTTTTTTCCCTTCGGTAGGCAACATTGAATATCATTCACAGTGTTGTTCTCTCAGTTCTTGACAAAAACCAAAGGACTAGAGAATTGGAGGAGATTTCGCAGCAGAGGAGTGCTGCAAAGGACAATTCCGTGGACACAGAGGTGGCTTATTTGACTCACGAAGGCTTGTTCCTAAGTGATGCTTTCAGAGAGGGCGAGCTAGCAGCTGCAGAAGTTGATACTACCTCTCAGAGAAACACTTCTCCAAACAGCGAGCCCTGCAGCAGTGACTCGGTGTCGGAACCAGAATGTGCTACTGACTCTTCATCCAGCAAAGAGCAGACCCCAGCAGTCGCCACTCCAGGAGGTATAGATATTATGTGAGTATAGTAGCCTGGTGAGAATGAGCCCTGTGAGCCAGCTTAGAGTGTGTCAGCTTAGTTTTAGAAATGTCACCCTGTGCTTAGAATTTAACAGTGCATATTGACTTCATAAAACAGGAAATACATACTTCACGTTGACAGTGTGTGGTAGGCATGGGGGTGAGCCTTGGAGACAGTGGGGAGATGACAGGACCGTACAACTGGTGAGGAACTTGAGCCACTAACTGAGATGCCCTTCCTTCAGCACTGGGGTAATGGACCTGTGTGACTTAAACAGAACTTTCCCGGAACACTTGACCGTTACCACTCTGATCATTTTTCTGTTTCCTCTGTGCTCTGCTGCTTTCTTATTTTATATTAGGGATGATATGTTTGACCTAAACATTGGTTTTTCAGAGGCATGGGTTTCCTGTGGAGCACATTGCCCTTTCAAACATCACTTGTAAAAAGTATGTTTTGAGATTATTTCACATTTATGGAAAATTTGCCTGATGCCCAGTTGTGCTTATTTAGAATCCTGTCAGGAAGAGCTCCTGTTCTTACACATCTTCACTCTCTTCACTCTCATCGTTTGTTAATCTTCTGCATGTTGGCCGTTTTGGAATATATGTCCCAGGTGTAGTAGCTTTAATTTTTATTTTCCTGGTTATTGCTAGGAAAGCACCTTTTCATATACCCATTCTCTGTTTCATTAGTGTCTCCTGTCAGGCGTTATAGAAGGCCTTTGTCCACTTTTCTATTGTTTTTTTCTTAGTGATTTCTTAGAGTTGCTTGGGTAAGCACACATTTTTGCTGTTCACCCATATTGCGAATGTCATTTCCCACTTGGTGGATTCCCACTTCACTCTCTAGTTGAGGTCTTTTTGGTGAAAAAAAAAAAAAAAAAGAAGAAAGCTATTGATTTTAAAGCTGTCCCTTTCACAGTTAGATTGGCAGTTTCTCTGTGATTATTTTTTGTGTATTGTGCTAAATTGTCTTCCTTTTTTCTTCCTGTGTAGATAGTTATCCTGTAGACCTAACCCATTTATCGAAAATGTCATCTCGTGTACTGTTCTGAATAGAGCACCACTCTGCCATAAATCAAATGCTCAGGTAGTAGTAGTTTCTGTTTCTGTAGTAAAGCACCGTGTGGCAGAGTGCTGATCTAGCACGAGGGAAGTCGCTCTCCAGCTTGTTTTGTTTTCCAAGAACATGGTCCAGAATTTGTACTTTTCACTGTCACTTATACACTAGAGGCTAGGCTGTTACATGACTTTCTGTGACGAAGCGTGAGAACTAGAGTCTTCAGCTAGGTGGATATTTGCCCGGCTGAAGCTCTTACTGTGGCAGAGGGAGGAAGACAAATACTGAAGGCCAGCTAGCAGCTTGTGGTGACATTGGAAAGTCTTAAGCCAGCTTAGTAGTGGTTGTTTTTGTTCCTCCTCTTCCTTCTTATCTTCACTGTGCCTCACTTCATGTTTAGAGGTTTCCCTCATTATGTAAGATGAAGCTTAGGCACTGCAGACGGTCCCACCCGTGTCGAGCTGGTACACAAAGGCCTGCGCGCTTTGCAGCTCAAAGGAGAAATGGCTGGAAAGTTCAGAGCAATTAAACATCTTTCCCAAGGAAAAGTTACAGCTAATTAAACAGTATTTAAAGCATTCACGCTTTTGATTAGGTCACTGCACTATTTAAGAACTTGTTTTTGTTGGCTATTTTCTGTTTACGTCTTTGTGAAAATACGTAGCACATTGCCAAGAGTTCTAAATTCCTTAGTGATTCCATGGCAAATTTTACTAATTCTTCAGAAGATAAGACCTTATTTCAATAGTAAATTTAAACTTTTAAGGGAGCATTTCTGTTGGAGTTAGTGTTAGTACCAGACCGTTTATATAGAAGTCGGTGTTTTTGAGCATGGGAGAGATAACTCAGTAAAAAGAGGAGCTTGAGTATTATACTGGAACATAGAAAGCTGGCTGTGCCGGTGTGTTCTTAAAGTCCCAGTGCTGGGGAGGCAGAGGCAAGTAAATTTGCTGAGCCAGTGAGAGGTCCTGTCTCATAAACAAGGTAAATGACTCCTGAGGAAGGAAACCGAAGTTGCTGTCTGTCTCCATTTGCATCCACCATATCTTTGCTTCCCCCCTACCCCGTGAAATTATGGAGCAGGGAAAGTTTAATGAGTAAGAGACCATTTCTGGATTGTAGTCTTACCGTCTTTACTCTTGCAGCTGTGCATAGGTCACTTAAATGACTGAGGGTCAGTGTCTACCTACCTCAGTATAAGAATTAAACAAGACTGTTTGGAGAATACTCTAAGACTGGTAACCCTGCCATTATTTAAGGCATTAGTAAATAGGCTTTAGTGATATTATAATTTTGAGGGATAATAAATGATAACTTTCTTCAATATCTTAACTCAGTTAGAGTGGTAAGTTGCTTCAAAGTAAAGTACAATAGAGCCTGTTAGTAATATCTTTGAAAATTGTCTCATTCAGTCAAAAGGGCTATAAATGTCACAGGCACTTAATGTGGCTTGTGATGAAGATACTAAACTGAACTGTTAGCATAGCGGCAGTGGCCTTTATAATATGATTCTTGAATGAAAATAATTTAAAAATAGAAAAATCTTGCATTTTACTTCAAAATATAAACACAACTATTTAGTGCAGCTATCTTGAGGGCAACAGTCTACTTAGCACTTAAGATCAGCAAGTACTCAGCCACTAAGTCAATTGTAATGACAGGAAGAAAGAACATGCTTGTGAAATGCCGTCCCTTCCTCCCCATCCTTCCACTTCGTTACCTGGTGCATGTGTTCAGCCCTGCCCTCCACAGCTGCCATCTCACACCTGCAGATTTTCCAGTCAGAGTGGGAGCTTTGTGTTAGGACTAGGGCAGCAAAGAAAGTTAGTCTTATATACTGTTAGCATATACTTGAGCACCGTTAGAACTTATGAAAAATTTGCTGTAACCCAGACGCTTTCCACAAATGTGAATTTTATAGCTCTTTGTCCTCTTTGTTATCACTTGTGGCGAATACTGTGTTTCCTGACTAAATCTCATCTTACCATTTTCAGAGTCAGTGAAGACATGAGATTAACTGACTTGGAGCTAGGAAAATTAGCAAGTAACATCCAGGAGCTGTTGTGTAATGCTTCAGATATATGTCATGATCGAGCTGTCAAATTTCTCATGTCAAGAGCAAAGGTATTTTATTTTCATAAAGCCGTGGAGAGTGTGACTTTAGAGATCCAAGTTATGTGGATCTAAATGCCCGGTCACGTTTTTAGCTTTTTAACACTTGGGGGCATTACTTCTGTGGTCCTTTAAGAAGCTACTGAGATGTGAAATAATTAGATAAAAGAAATGGAAAAATCACTAAACCATTTTTTCAAATTAATTGTTTATTTAAAGCGCTTATTTAAAAATACAATACCCTAATAATTTTAATCTAATGTGCTGTTTTACATATATATATATATACACAAAAAGATGTTAATAAAATTTAACTTTAATATCATAAAAAATGTATAGGATAACTTATTAAATTCATTTGAATTACTATGGTAGTTACAGAGTGATAAGAACCAACTTTAGGAATCTTCAGCTTTTGTTTTGTTTTGTTTTGCTTTTCATGACAGGGTTTTTCTATGTAACCTTGGCTGTCCTGTACTCGCTTTGTAGACCAGGCTGGCCTCAAGTTTTGTATCTAAAGTATTGGGAAATTTCATTTAAAGTATAAATAATTGTTTTTAATCATAAATATATCTAATGCAATATAACTAACATTAGGAAGATAAAAATAATCTTAACAGTTATTGACTAAGTCAGTTTTATAGCTCATGCATATTGTCCTAACTTGTCATGATGTGATATTTTTAAAACTTAGGATGGTTTCCTTGAAAAGTTAAATTCCACAGAATTCGTAGCACTCTCGAGATTAATGGAGACGTTCATTGTGAACACTGAGCAGATCTGTGGGAGGAAGAGCACGTCGCTGCTCGGGGCCCTTCAGAGCCAAGCCAATAAGTTTGTGAACAGGTTTCATGAAGAGAGGCGGACCAAACTCAGGTAGGACCACGTCCGTTCTGTTCTTCTCTATGTAACCCTGGTGTTTTAAAATGAAAGCCTGGTTCATCAGCAGGCAGAATTCCTCAGAGTGCCAAAGTAAGATCCTGTTTCTTCACTTCTCAGATGGAACGAATGTATGTTTCTGTTGAAGTCTTTGTCACATGATCCTCAGTGTTTGTTTCTCACACAAGGGTAGCTAAACAGTTTTCTCTGCTGATTTTGACTGGGCTAAGAGATAGAAAAAAGACTTGGGAAAAGTATTAGTTGTGTTGGTGTGTGGGTCCAGTTTGTCATGACCTTGAACATTTAAGGACTGTCTGCTTGGTGGGCCTCTTGCTTCTTTCTTTTTAGCTAGAGATTGATACTGGAATGTGAGTATTAAGGCTCACTCTCCTTTCGCTTTTGAACAGCCTCCTCTTAGACAATGAGCGTTGGAAGCAAGCTGATGTTCCTGCAGAATTTCAGGATCTTGTTGATTCTATAGCGGATGGAAAGATCTCGTTACCTGAAAAAAAGCCAGCGGGTAAGTGTAGTCTTTGACACACTGTCCCTCCAACCTTATATTGATGACGAGGGTATGCTTTCTGTCCCTGAACAGCTTATAGTCTTTCAGGTCTACATTATGCAAACAAAAAATGGTTTTTCAGTTAAAGCTGTACATATAGAGTGATTGCACTAACCATGTATTTCTTTTCGTGGAAAGTGAACAGTTCTGACTTCTTTGGAGGTTCTTCTGGGAGTTTTCCTTATACTTTGTTTCTGCCTCTGTCCCCTTGTGCTTGCCTTCCTGCACAGCATGAGTATATTCTGTTAGAACTTCATTAGTTAGAATGTGCTTATAAGGAAGGAGCGTGGGTTGTCATGCCTCTGTTGTGTGTTCACTGACCCACTAGATAGTGATCTGGCACCAGGAAAGTGATGGCTAGTTGATAGGCAACACTGAGTGCTTGTTTGGTTCCAGGAATTGTTCTAAGCAGAATATAGATGTGACGACATTGATGGTCTACAGATGAGGCTAACCTAGCAGACAGTGGACTCTGGAGCACAGCACAGTTAGGCAAGGAGTTTAGAGCTGAGAAGTGGGAGAGCAGGGGTTCAGATTCAGGCAGACTGGCAGCAGGAACTTCCCTTATCTGCTCTGCTGCCACGTCTGTGCAGAATAACGTTAAGAAAGTGCTTGCCATCACAAAGCAAATAGACCTACATTCAAGTTGGGTTGTGATTAGAAATTGCTTTCTTTGCACCAAAGAAGAGAGGAAGTATACATTTTGTCTAAGTGTTGAGAAACTTGACATTTAGGAAAGCTTACTGATAATGCTTTTGTTAAGCTGATTTGGCTGATTCAGGAAAGTGATGGAATTTATTTTCCTTTTTATTATTTTAATTATATTGAATAATTTAATATTTAATAATACATTTAAATGTATAATACATTTAAATACATTAATAATACTGTAAAATATTTTGTAGTAATATTTTATTATTTTCAACATGCTGAATTTTGTTTCATAGTTGTGAGGAATACCACATGCTGAAACTTAATTTCTGAGTTGAAATCTTTAAGGGCTAATGTTGATAATGAAAAGCAGCGAGGTAAAATGCTAGTTCTGCCTCTAAACTAATTCTAACTTAAGACAAAACAAACAAACAAACAAACTAAATGACTTACTAATCTAGTATGTACTAGGCCCAGAAGATAGGCAGTTTATAGTCATTGTTCCTGTCATTGAAACTGCCCCGAGAGTCAGATAGCTGAACTGCCAAGAACTTTAGTGGGACTCGAATCTCAGTCTCAGTCTAAACCCGGTGTACTTCCTCTACAGCGCCATACAGTTTCCCAAGATACAATATTTGTTTCAGAAATGAGTTAGTTCTGGGTTATAAACAAACTATTGTGTTCATTTTTTTCTTCAGTCATTTGTTTCATCTTGTGCCCGTCTTTCTTGTTTGCCTTGTTTTCCAGCTGTAGAAGAAAGGAAGCCAGCTGAGGTCCTTGTTGTTGAGGGACACCAGTATGCTGTTGTTGGGTGAGTGACATATTTCTCTAGTTCTCCCTGGGAGCGAATTCCAAATTTTGGAACAATAATGTTAAAAGCTATAAAATATTTAAAGGAACTTTTATATAACTTCTCTTTTATTTTCCACTATTCTGTAGTATGCTGTATCCACTAGGGAGTCCACTGGCCTCACAGTCCAAGGTCCATGTAGTAACTGCTTGATACCATTGTTACCACCCCAGGCTCTTGAGGTCTTTTTTCTCCACAGCTTTCTTAGCGAGTACTCTAGCACAGTAGTTTCAGTTTTGGACAGTAGAACCCAAAAGGTGGAAACAGTTCAATGTATAAAATTATTGCTGTTCTATATATCATTTAGCACAGATCACCACTGACGTTGGAGTCATTAGGTCTTTTTCCCTTTTGTCAATAAATACCTTTTAAATCAAGTTAACTGGACACACTGTACTGCCCTTTATGGTATGCCTGTTCATACCTTTTATAAAATTTTAAGCACACCATCATCTTTAAAACATTGAACAGTTTAAGCATTGTCTTTGCTTCTTGTCAGTGTTTGTGAAATAGCTGCCCCTTCCATAAAGAAAGTAGTGCCTTGTCATGACAGTGTAGTATTATCTCTTTCTGTACGTGCCCTCTGGTAGAACTAACTCTTGAGTTCCGCAGAGCTGGGTGAGTTACTGGCCGCAGTTTTTAGTTTTCTTAGCACCATGCAACTATACAGACAGTGCCTAGGCTTCAAGCTTCTGCCCAGTCACTTTCAAGTTGCTGGAGAATATATATTTATCAGCAACACTCCTTTTCATTCTCTGGAAGGGAGGGCAAAGCTGTTTTCAACCCCCTGCAACCTCATCCCTCCAATTGAAAGGTAATTTCTGTCTTTATTGATTTCTTATCCAGCTACATTTCATGTGCTTGATGAAAATGGTCCCTCTTGGCTAGTGTCCTGGCTCTTCAGGAAAAGGACTAATGGTTCTTCTGAGGGGGATTATAAAGACATGCAGTGGACTGGTGCCACTCACGGCAGAGTCTGGACTAGACATGAGCATGTGCATGACCTTCCAGATGAGTCTAACAGGCTAGATGCTGTCTTGAATTTCAGTTTTCAACATCTTACAGATTTTTATAAGGCATTATATAACAGGACTTTCTCATTTCTGAACAGCTGAGGGAATTTAGAGGTCTTATGATAAGTTGTTCTTTCCCCCACCAATTTCAGTTTTACTTAACCTACAATGATGTATCTTTTCTATTTGTCACACGCTGTGCTGTTAAGCTGATAATTTATCATTTTTGAAGAACCTTTTGTGACCACTTAGTAAACTTTCTAGGACATTATGTTCTTCCTAGAGCATTATAGATTCTTTGTCATTCCACCAAGAAAATCTGGACTAACCTCCCTTCATCAATTGAAGAGTTAGAATTGTAACCTAAAGTTTACAGGAGTAAGCACACCTGCTGACTAGTGTTTTTCTCAGTGTTTCTGATTTGCCTCCAAAATGGAGTACTTGCTTAAAGTTGCCATGCAGAGGGGCTGACAAGATGGCTCAGCAGTGAAGAGCGCTTCTTACTCTTGCAGAGAACCCAAGGTTGATTCCCAGCAACCCATGGTGGCTAGCAACTGTCTTTAGCTCCACTTAAACTCCGGAGTATCCCACATCCTCATCTGGCCTCAATGGGCACTTCACACATGCGGGGCACAGACATACACATACACATAAAATACCCATATACATACAATAAAAACAAATCTTCAAAAAAAAAAAAAACCAACAGAAAACCATTCAGAGAATAAGTGTGACGAGACATGGATTTCTAGTCCTTTAATGCTGACTAGAGGTTGGTATATCTCCATGGATGGTTTGAACTCTAAGTTCTGTGGGTTATTCTTTTCCTCTAGAACTGTCTTGCTGTTAATAAGAATCATCCTTGAATATTGCCAGTGTGTGGACAACATCCCATCTGTCACTACTGACATGCTCACTCGTCTGACAGATTTGTTGAAGGTATGTACAGCTTTACCCATTTTTCTGAAAAAATAGTTGGAAGAGTTCATTTATGGAAGTATAACTAATCTTTAATTTTGAAGACCCTTACCAAGTTATTTTTAGGGTAAGGCTTTTGGGATATCAATGATGTTTTGTCCATTTCACATTCAATGTGTGCATATGTGTGAGGTGAACATAAGTATATGCTCACATGTTCTAACATCCATAGAGCTGTTAATGATACTGGAGATACGTAGCTACTGAACATGACTCAACTCCTTCAGATCAGAAACATGAACTGCTTTCCAGTGCGTGTCAGGGACTCACTGAGGCTTCATTCCACTAAAGTCAGATTTCTCTTGACATTATTCTTCTAGAACCTTTAATGGAAGATGAAATGGCGACAACTTCAGCTATTTCATGCTACCATACTTTTATGTGCTACTATAACAAAGGCTTTGTCCCCCTATTCAAAGTAGATTCCTTTCACATACAATTTATCATGATTACAGTCCCCTCCCCTTCTCCTCTCAGCTCCTCCCCACCTCCCTTTTAATTCAGATTCACTCTCTTTCTCTTCTGTCTCTAATTAAAAAAGAACAGGTTTCTAAGGGATAGCAACATAGCAAAATAAAATATAATGAGATTAAACAAAAATCCCCACATTGAAGTTGGACAGGGCAGACTAACAGAAGAAGAAAAGAGCCCACGAGAGAGCACAAGAATCAGAGACCCACTCACGACACACTCAGATCTATACAGTACTAAAATGAAAGTTAAATCCTCAGGACCTGGTTTAGACCTGTGTTGGTCCTGTGTGTGCTGCTTCATTCTCCGTGAGTTCATATGTGCTTTTGCTCAGTTGTTTGAGAGGACATTGTTTTTCTGCTGTCCTGCAACCCCTCTGGTTCGTACATTCTTTCTGCCTCCTCTTCTGTGGAGTTCCCTAAGCTCTGCGGGGATGGATTTGATGGAGACACGCCGTTTAGAGCTGTGTGTTCCAAGGTCTCTCTTTGCATAATGTCTGGCTGTGGGCCTTTGTATGTTTTCCTGTCTTCTGCAGGAGGAACCTTTTCTGTGGTTGGCTGAATAAGGAATTTATTTATGAGTATAACAGAATATGCTTAGTAGTTACTCTAGCACAACTTACTTTGTTGTTTTTGTTTTTGTTTTTTTAAAGACCAGTCGTATTTGGTTTTTCTAGGTTTCTGGGATGAAGCCTGCTTGAACATGGTCAATGATCTTTTTGATGTTTTCTTAATTATGTTTGGAAGTATTTATTGAATTTTTTGCATCTATGGTCATAGGGGAAATTGTTCTGCAATTCTCTTTCTTTATTGAGTCTTTATGTGGTTTGGGTATCAGGTTGTCTGTGACCTCATAAAACAAACTGGGCAATGATCCTTCTGTTTTTATTTTGTAAAATAACTTCAGGAGTATTTGCATTAATTTTTCTTTGAAAGTCTGGTACAATTCTGTGCTAAAACCATCGATCCCTGGGCTTCTTTTGGTTGGGATATTTTTAATGACTGCTTCTACTTCACTAGGTTATTGGTCTATTTAAACTGCTTCTCTGATCTTGATTTAGTTTTAGTAAATGGTATCTATCTACTGAGAAAATTATCCATTCTTTTAGATTTTTCCAGTTTTGTAGACTACTGGTTTTTAAAGTATATCCTTAGGATTCTCTGGATTTCTCAGTGCCTGTTGTTATGTTTTCATTTCTGATTTTGATAATTTGAATATTCTCCTCCCACCTTTTGGTTAACTTGGATAAGAGTTTGTCAATCTTACTGATTTTTCCTTCAAGAACCAACTCCTGTTACATTGATTCTTTGTATTGTTCTCTTTGTTTCTGTTTTACTGATTTCAGTACTCAGTTTGATTACTTTTTTGCTGCCTACACCTTTTGGGTGTGATTTCTTTCTTTTTTCTTTGTTTTGTTCTAGAACTTTGAGGTGTTAAGTTACTAATGAAATCCCTCCAGTTTTTTGTTTGTTTGTTTTCTAATGTAAGCACTTAGTGCTGTGAACTGTCTTCAGTGTATCCCATAAGTTTGGGTATGTTGTACATTCACTTTCCTTCAATTCTGGAAAGTCTTTAATTTTTTTCTTAATTTCTGTCCTGACCCATTTTTCATTTAGTAGAGAATTGTTCAGTTTTCATGAGTTTGTAGGCTTTCTTTTGTTTCTGTTATTGTTGATATCCAGGTTTACTCTGTGGTAGTCAGTTATGATGGGGTTACTTCAGTTTTCTTGTATCTGCTGTTGAAACTTGTTTTGTGTCTGAGGGTGTGGTCAGTTTTGGAGAAAGTTCCATGATGTGCTGAGAAGAAGGTATATTCTTTTGTATTTGGTAAAATTGTTCTGTAACTATCTGTTAGGTTCATTTGGCTTATAATGTTAGTTAGCTCCAACATTTCCTTGTTTAGTTTTTGTCTGGATGACCTGGCCATTGGTCACAGTAGGGTATTGAAGCCTCCTTCCAGCACCTTCTGAAAGACTGGATTTGTAGATAAACATTGCTTTAATTTGACTTTACATGGAATATCTTATTTTCTCTATATTGATTGAAAGTTTTGCTGGATTGGCTTCTGTGGCCTCTTAGAGTCTGTAACATACCTATCCAAACCCTTCTGGCTTTTGAATCTCTGTTGACAACTCAGGTGTAATTATAATAGGTCTGTCTTTATATGTTGCTTGGCCTTTTTCTCTTGCAGCTTTTAATATTCTTTCTTTGTTCTATACATTTAATATTCTATACGTTTAATATTTATTATGTGGTGAGTGGAATTTCTTTTCTGGTTTAATCTTGTTGTACTGTATGTTTCTTGTACCTTGATAGGCATGTCCTTCTTTAGGTTAGTAACTTTTTTTTTTTTTTTTTTTAACGATTTTGTTGAAAATATTTTCTGGACCTTTGAGCTGGAAATCATCTTCTTCTATTTTTATTATTGTTAGATTTGGTCTCTTTGTAGTGTCCTGGATGTTTTGTCAGGAATATTTTATACTTAATATTCTTAATATTTTCTTTGGCTGGTGCATCTATTCCTCCTATTGTGTCTTCAGTGCCTGAGATTCTTTCTTCCTCTTCCATTTTATTGTTGAAGCCTGCCTCTGTAGTTACTGTTTAAATTCCTAATTTTTTTTCAGAGTTCCTTCAGTTTGGGTTTTCTTTATTGATTCTATTTCCATTTTCAGGCCTAAAAGTCTTAATTATCTCCTTCCAGCATCTCTTTTCGTAGATTTCTTTAAGGGATTTATTCATTTCCTATTTACAGACCTCTGTCATTCATACAGGTTATTTTAAGGTCTTGTGTGTGTGTGTGTGTGTGCGCGCGCGCGCACGCATGCGCGCTTCAGCTGTGTTGGAATATTCAGGGCCTGCTGTGGTATGGTTGCTGGTCTCTAGTGTAGATATATTGTTCTGCCTGTTATTGATTGTGTTTTTACCCCGGTGTCCAGGCATCTGTGAGTGGGATGATTAGGTCTACATGCTGATATCTGCTTTTGTCTTTGTTTGCTGGGTGTTATGTTTTTTTGGTTTCTGTTTTCCTCTCTGGGTTTTAGCAGAGTGTGGTGGCTGTGTGTTCCTTGGTAGGACATTTTCTGTAGACCTGATAACATTTTCCAGGTAAAGTACGTTTCTGGGTATTGGGAACTAACACTTAGGAATGGGCATTGGCTAGGGGTCTGAAGGATTTACAGGAGGGAGGAGAGCAGAGTGTTCCAGGATCTGCTTGTTTAGTGTCCTTGGAAGAGGTATAGACAGTGAAGAGAGGTCACCCCAGAAGGTCTGCTATAGAGCTGGGATGAGACTTGGGGATTGGATCTGGAGCAGCAGCAGGAGAGGGAAAGAGCTACAATCAGCCTATCTGATTCCTGGCTTGAGTGACCTTTGGATTAGCAGGGAATGCCTGCTGGAGTTGGGAGCTGGGGTAAAGCAACAAATAGGGAGAGGAAGGTTAGGAGCAGATCTGTGAGATCAGCAGGGTAGATTGGGTGGGAAAGGGTGGAGCAAGAGGGCAGGGAGGGCTGCCGCAGGTGTTCTGTTGTAGAGCTGGCTTGAAACTGGAGGTTTGGGTCTGGAGGAACAGAGGTACAGGTGAAGATTTACAGTGAGCCTACCTGCTTCTCTGGCAGGTGTGGCCTGTGGCTTAGCAAGGAGTGCCTGTTGTACTTGGAGGCTGGGATAGAGCAACAAATGGAGGGGAGTGGGTTTAGAGGAGAAGATCTGTGTGATCCATTAGAGATGGAGTAGGGGAAGCCTGCCACAGGTGTTCTGCTGCAGAGCTGAGGGCAAGACTGGAGGACTAGGTCTGGGGAAACAGGAAAGGCGAAAGTCTGCAGTCGCCTACCTGCTTCCCTGACAGGAGTGGCCCATGGGTTAGCAGGGTGCTAACCACTTTCGAACCTCTAAATTGTCAGTTAATTTGTCCAACAAGAAAATTTGTTTATCAAGAAATATTTTTTACTTTTTTAAATTATTTTTATTAATTACAGTTTATTCACTTTGTATCCCCCCTGTAGTTCCCTCCCTTCTCCCCTCCCAGTCCCTCCCTCCCTCTTCCCCACACGTGTCCCTCTCCCAGTCCGCTGATAAGGAAGGTCCTCTTCCCCTTCCCTCTGATCCTAGTCTATCAGGTCTCATCAGGAGTGGCTGCATTGTCATCTTCTGTGGCCTGGCAAGGCTGCTCCCCCCTCATTGGGAGGTGATCAGAGAGCAGGCCAATCAGTTCATGTCAGAGACAGTCCCTCTTCCCATTACTATGGAGGCCACTTGGACACTGAACTGCCATAGGCTACCTCCGTGCAGGGGTTCCAGGCCATCTCCATGAGTGGTCCTTGGCTGGAGTATCCGTTTCAGAAAAGATCCCTGTGCCCAGACTTTTTGGATCTGTTGCTCTCCTTGTGGAGTTCCTGTCTTCTCCAGGTCTTGCTATCTCCCCCTTCTTTCATAAGATTCCCTGCACTCTGCCCAAAGTTTGGCTATGAGTCTCAGCATCTGCCTCAATACCCTGCAGGGTAGAGCCTTTCAGAGGCCCTCTGTGGTAGGCTCCTGTCTGTTCCCTGTTTTCTCCCTCATCCGATGTCCAATATATACTCATTCATAAATGGATATTTAGACATATAATATAGGATAAACATACTAAAATCTGTACACCTAAGAAAGCTAGTCAGGAAGGAGAACTCTGGCTAAGATGCTCAGTCCCCATTCGGAAAGGCAAAGAGCAAGAAATAATTTTTAAACTTTTGAAAATTGGATTTTCCAGGCTGAAGAGAGGTCTCAGTGGAGAAAGCCTCTTGCTGTTCAACTGTGAGGACCAGAGTTTGAATCCCCAGCACTCACATAAAAACACGGTGGCCCTGGAGGCCCACCTCAATGCACCAGTGCTTGGCAGACACACATAGGATTTCTGGGTCAAGCTTATTAGTTATCTAGAATCAGCGAGCTCCAGGTTCAGCTGGTAGAACCTGCTTAGGAGGAAAATGGAGAGCTATAGAGGAACACACACCTCCTCAAACCCTGCTCTCACATCCTTGAACACATGCACACCCTATATATGTGAACACACATGTACAGAGAGATAAAAAAGGGCTTTCGTTAAAGAATGACTGAACTGGGGCTAGAGAGCTGGCTAAGCGGTTAAAAGCACTTGCTGTTCTTGAGAAGAATCTAGGTTCAGTTTCCAGCATCCTGCTGTCTGTAACTCCAGTTCATTGCCTCCTTATGACCTATATAGACCCAAGGCATGGAGGTGGTGCACATACATAAGCACAGGCAAAACACACACATCAAATAAATAGATTGTTACCAAAAAGAGTGATTGAAACGGAATTGCTTTTGTAAATACAGAGATTAGTTTTCTATAAAAGCAATTTTTAGATTTCTCAGTTTTTCCCCCACCAGAAGTCAATATTGAGTATAACTGTCCTGTCCCCCTTTTAATTAATGCATAAGTAGATTCTAATTGCTTCTACCAGAAAATTCATGGTACCAAGCTGTTGTGGTGAATCACTCCTCTAAGCTCAGCACTTGGGAGGCTGAGACAGAACTGCCCGCCTGCATTGTATAGTGAGTGCAGGCCAGCGTGTACCATGGAGTGTGATCTGTTTTTAAAAAATCCAACTAACATGTAAATTCGAGGTTTGTGCTGAGAAAGTGGGTAGAGCAGTGTGCTTGTGCCTGAGGGACAGTTAGCACTTTCATGAACGGCTCAGAGTGATTATTTCTCTTCTTTCCTGCTTAGTACTTCAATTCAAGAAGTTGTCAGTTAGTTCTTGGAGCTGGTGCATTGCAAGTTGTTGGACTGAAAACAATTACTACAAAAAATTTGGGTATGAATTCTTCCATTTAATTCCTTCACTGAGTTGTTAGAATGATGTCACTTTTGTATTGTGTTTTTATGCCTAATGTTTGTATGGCCCAGACAAGAGCCTTAAAAGTGGCAGATGCTGCGTTGACCTCCTATGTGATGGGCTTTGGCAGGGGTTCTGCTGGTGGTGGTGGTGTGTGTTCTAGGGAGTTAGCACTGTTCCAGGTTGTGTGGAAGATGTGTTACTTCCTAAAATGTTATAATGCGTGTCAAGTACTTTGGGGAAATATTCATTAAAAAGTACTTTGGGTGCTAGGTGTGGTGGTGCCCACCTGTGATCCCAGCACTCAGGGAGGCAGAGACAGGTGAATCTCTGTGAGTTTCAGGCCAGCCTGGTCTACAAAGTGAGGCCAAGGCTACTCAGGGAAACCCTGTCTCGAAAAAAGCAAAAACAAAAAAAGTGCTTTGAGGAGAGAATCAGCTGTGTCAGTATCCTCGGGCTGCCAGCAGATCCAGTTAGAAAGCAGTGTGTTCATTACCAGATTTATCTCCTTGTGCAAGGCGAAATATATCGCCTTCCACCAAGATGTTTCTCATTTGTGAGATAAACTGGGATTTGTGTACAATTAGAGCAAAAGCTTTTCGTTAATCTGATGGCAATGAAGGTCAGCTGACGTCTTTGTCCCTGCATTCCATGCTGCTTCCCGCCTTCAGCGCTTTCTTCGCGGTGTCTGCAGTTGATTGTACACTACATCCCTGTGATCCGGGCTCACTTTGAAGCTCGCCTGCCCCCTAAGCAGTGGAGCCTGTTGAGGCATTTTGATCACATCACCAAGGTACTTTCCCCAGTGTCTATCGCAAGTGTGCTCTTTAATTGTGAGTATTGGAGATGTGTCTTGAGAAGCTCTAAAATACAGGGTGATTTCTCCTTACAGGATTACCATGACCACATAGCTGAGATATCAGCCAAGCTGGTAGCGATAATGGACAGCCTGTTTGACAAGCTGCTATCAAAGGTAACGATTTCTATAAATGATGAGGCTTGGCCTAAGCTTAAGGCACTGCGACTTTGCACTTTAAAAGAATTCCACATATACAAGACATGGTTGGCAAAGTGCATTTTTACACACACAAGACTGGGGGTTTCTTATTTGTTTGTAAAAACGGGGTGGATGGTGGTAGGTGCTTGTGGTCTCTGCTTAGGGGAGCTAAAAACAGGTAAATGTGTGTAGTCTGCTGGCCAGCGAGAAGTGCTGTCTCATAACATAAGGTAATAGTACTTGGGGACTGTCCCACAGGCTGTCCCCTGCCCTCTATTTTCAGTTCAACACCCGGCACATCTACCCTCTCACACAAATAAAATCTTCACAAAATACATTCTTCCATAGTTACCACACCTGGTGTTATTACCAACAACAGTTCTTACCCTTGGGACTTAACCAGTTGACTCAGCACCTCCTCCACTATCATTTGTTTGGACAGACTTATCTATGTGATGCATTCATTATATTTGCTGATTTCGTATCTCAAGTTTTTTGGTTTGTTTTAATAAACGTAGAGCATCCCCCTCTGCATTTTTGTTTTTGTTGCTTTATTATTACTGACTTAGAGAATGTGGCTAGCTCTCACGGGAGGTGTGTACTCCTCTCACCGTGAATTCCACCGATACTGCCTGGCTTGCTGCATTCACCCTGTATTAACAAGTCTGTCTTTGCTGTTGCCTGCCTGACTTGCTTGCCTGTGTTGCTCAGAAGTCTGAGCTCGTTTTTAATTCATACCAAAATAGGGGACAGAATTTCTTTGGGTTTGTCTTTTCGTTTTTAGCTGTTCATTTTCTTACTTGAAATTTTGGTTTTCAGAATGTATGCCATAATAATATAATCTAGGCTGTCCTAAGAGGCTAATTGGGCCCTACTTCTTGTATTGAATGACTCTGTCTCTGATTATATATACTGACAGCTAGGCTGATTCATATCCTATTCACTTGTTCAGTAAATTATGTGCAAACCATTGTGCTACGTAGCAGGTGCTACAGAGTACATCAGTCTTCCATCTGGTCCTCAAATAGCAAAGATCTAGTAGGGAAAACTCACGATAATTTCAGCAACAAGGAGCCTATGCAAAGCATTACGAGTGGGGATTGATACTGGAGTGAGCTTTTACTGCTGTGGAAGGCATGGTTGCCAGCTGGGGGAAGAGCTGGGATATAAAATCTCCTCTATAGTTAAGAACAGGGTAATGAAATTGACATGAGGTAACATGAGAAAACACGTTGGAAATCATAAGCCAATTCTGTTAAAGTTAGAGAGGTAGGCCCACATTAAGTCTCGTGCTTGCTACAGACTAGCCAGTGAGGCACCTTTGGTGAGTTGTTAGTTGACTTAAAACCCTAGCTGGGACTAATAGAAATGATCTCAAAGGGATATGTAATAATATGTATTTGCTGTACCTTTTGTTTTTGCTGTGTATGTGACTGGAGCAAGGTTTAATAAATGCTGCCTGCCAATATCCTGCTGTTATTAATAGTAAGAAAGGTGACAGGTGCAGTTTGCTAATGTACTGGGCTGCACACAGGGGAATGGGTGACATGCTGGAATATTCTCCTGCTAGAAATCAGTTTAAATCAGGTTTATTGATGTATAATTTATATTCAGTAAAATTCACCCCCTTAAAATACACAGTTGGTAACTTAAAACTTAAGTAATGAAATGTTCACACTCAAGATATTAAAAAAAATTACTGGTAATCCTTTTCTTGGGCATTTTTAGTTTAGTTTGGCTTTTCCCAGAAGGTCCTTCATATGGAGTCAAAGTGTGTTGTTCCAGGCTCCTTTTGTTCAGCATAATGCTTTTGGAATTGACGCAACCTAACTATTAGCATACTTTGTATGCTAATAAAAGTAAGTTTTTAGAAAAGGGGCAATTGTGGAATTTATGATGAGGAAGGCTTGCTTTCTGACTGAAGAAGAGCATGGTCAAGAGGGGAAACTAGGAAGGCACAGTGCTATAGAGGCTTGCAGTGCGATGTGAGGTGCCACAGAGGGAGTCGGGACTGTTACTGTTCGGAAGGTAGAGTGTTTTTAGTGATTATTTTCTCCAGAGAGAATTTTCAGAAGAATATTAGAGTCAGAGAAGCTCTCTGGAGTGTTGGCAGATTTTAAGGGTTGTAAATTGATACTGCGTCAAGTTTAGGGGACTGAAGGATGTGATAGTGAAGGTGAAATGGAAAAGGATGGATTTTGGGGGATGGATTAGGCATTTTAGGGCTGCCAAAACAAATCACTATATATGGGATGACTTAAAAGAATCCTCCGTGAGGCCAGGCTGTCTCTGAAGACACCCTCCTCTGTGTGTGATGCTTGCTGAGTCTGTTTCATTGCTTGTGTTGTAATTGAGCACCCCAGTGTACGTGTCTTTGTGTGGCTGTCTTCCCTCTGTCTCTAGTGTCTGAAGTTCTTCTGCCACTAGGATAGACTAGGATTAGTGTGAAATAACATCACAACTCCAGAAACAGTTTTGTTTCCGTGAGGAGGCAGAGCATAGTCATTACATCTTGCAGGTGTGTTATGACATGGGCTCCACCACTTGGGAACACAGTTTGGTATTTCCTGATCAGCTGACATGGAGTCCACGTGACCCACTTGACTTCTGCTAGTATATGCCCAAGGGAGCATAGTGTCCACACCAAAGCCTTGTGCACAGTTGCCCACAGTGGCCGAATTAAGAACAGCACAGATTCTGTCAGCTGACAGCAGTGAAGGGAATGTGGCCTGCTCATAGTGTAACATAATTCAGTCGTAAAAGGGATTTGAAGTACAGCTGCGTATCATAATGAGATAGGAAAGCTTTCAGTGAAATGAGCCAGCCACAAAAGTCACATATTTTATGATTCCATTTATATGAAATGGGTTTAAAGCTTCAGGTTAAACCCGAACAGTTTTAAAGTTGGAAGCAGCCTATGGTCTTAGCTACTAAGCTGTTTTCTTTCCCATAAAGTAGATGAAGATACTGAACAAAAGTTTTTCAAAACCCCGCTGAAGATCTGAGCGAGCCCTATACCCATTAGAGGTATGGAGGCACAGAAAACACGATCTCAGGGAATGTCCGATAAGCTATGTAGTCCGGGAGACTAAACGCAGTTTGTTTTCTTTTCCCTTCTCAGTATGAGGTGAAAGCTCCTGTTCCTTCCCCGTGTTTCAGGAATATTTGTAAGCAAATGACAAAAATGCATGAAGCTATATTTGATCTTCTTCCCGAAGAACAAACACAGGTGAGTGGTAACACTGAAAGCCACCTTTGTGATTTTAACATTTTATATCCATACCAGTAGGAGAGTTTGTACATGCTTTTGATCCAGTCAAGGTCATGTTCTAAAATGATTGCTATCATCTTTCAAGTTGTTAATTGATTAGTGAGGCATGAATAAAATGTTTTAATTTCAAAATGTCCTTTGTTCTGGCAGGTGAGAACTAAGCTTACTTAATGTTAGTAATTCCAGAACAGAGACCTTCTGTTCACCCATTGCTAGAGTCCCTACTTGTATCTCCATCACTCTTTATGTTGTTGGTGGAGATGCTGGCATTTATCCATGAGGTATGTAATACTGTAAATTGAGATTGTAATGCAGCTCAGACGAGGACGGAGTTAGTGATGGAGTGAATAAAACCAGCATATGTGAGTAAATCACTAAGACTAGATGAGCTGAGTGATTTATGGTAGAAAGGGTGGGGCACCTCACCTATCACAAGGGATGGGGTCAGGGACCAGAGATGCCTGACCTTCCTGCTGGCCCTGCTCTGCCGCTGTGCCCTTGTTTCTCTGTTGTCAAGCCTCAAAAGTCCCAGAAGTTAACCCCTTTCTCCTTTTATTCATCTAACTTAATTCCCTTAAACTGGGTACTCCCATTCAAGCCTAGTTGTAGAATGATGGTGTGTTAGAGTATAAACCTAGTTAGTAACAGTGGGCTTAACTTTCACTGGGATTTTTGTCCGGGAACTAACTCTCTGGGGCTTGTGTATGCATGGAGATGGTATTGGAGGAGGGGGGCATTCTTAGAGACCCCTGTTCCTGCATCTCATGTTTTCCTTTCTTGTGGCCCTTGTACTTCCATTCTGTGCCAGCTGCTCCCATTCTTCCTGCTTTTCTGGGTTTTCTTTAATCACAGTAGACTCATAATTAAGCATCATCTAGTCCCTGTGGGAGGACACTGAGCAGGCCAGTGGAGTAGTTCCATCCAGGTCTACCTGGTGAGTTGAGTTTATTAGGGTTACTTCTGGGAGCATGGGTGGCTCACAAGCAGCTGCATCACTGAGAACCCACCAACAACTCACAAAGGCTGCTCTCCTGGAGCGTCCTGAACAACCTCGGAAGCCTGCAGGGGGCTCAAGGAGCCTGAGCAGTTGTTTCTGCCTCTGTGCCTGTGGGCAGGGGTATTGTGAGCCATGTAACTCTGAGCCTGGGAGCCCGATAAGCCTCTCTCCTCCCTCTAGGAGAGATGTTTCAGTTCTGAGGAGATGCCTACACACCTTCTCAGCGGACAAGCAAGATTCCCTCATCTCTGACTCTTTGCATACCAGCAACTGCACAGATTTCCACAGATTTATATTTATACTTCCCTTGGAAAATAGATTGTCAGATTATTTACATAGATGAATCATAGAGTTTTAAGTTGTCATTAAAAAGTGTAAAAGGGGCCTGACCCCCATCATGTCTTGTTACCCCACTCCCACTGTTCCTAGTTAAACAAAAATTTCTACGACTTTGTCTTATTTTTACCTAGTTCTGACTCTATATATCCCTCAGAAACTCTCCTAATATATACAAAGGCACTTTTACTGCTGAAAAAAGTACAACCAAATAGGGAAAAGAGCTTTTGTCTAACTGAAGAGAAAAACTATAGTGCAATAGCAGCTCATTACTTCAGAGGAACATCCTAAAAAGTTGATGTCAAAGATTTTAAAAAATGTTTCTCCATGTTATTGGTAATGGATACTTATATCTTCTATTTCATGAGAACTTTAAGCAACTTACTTTTATTTCTTTTCCAGATGTTATTTTTAAGAATTAATGCAAGTTACAAACTCCACTTGAAAAAGCAGTTGTCACACTTAAATGTAATAAATGATGGAGGACCTCAAAATGGGTATGATTCTTAGTCTGGTTTACATGCTCCCGCACTGAATGGCTTGATTATTTGCTCTTCTGCATGTCGTCCTCTTCTGCTGTCAATCATATTGAGGAAGAGAACCGTAAGGTTTTCTTGTGGACACGTCTCTCCTTATTTTCCCACTGCCTCTGTGTGTTAAGGTTTGTCAGTGGCCAGCTCCTCCCTGGGCCTTACAGACCCTCAGAGAGGCAGTGTGGGCTGTGGGTCCTCTAGATGCCCAGCAGTGGTGCTTTTTCCAGACAGGGCTCAGCTCTACCCCTTGGACTAGAGGAGTAGCTTCATTTTGTGGGATTCTGAAAAAAATCATTATTGTTTGAAACAGTATATAATGATTTAACAATCGTTAAAGTTGATTGTATTTAAAAACCATAGGATTCTTGTTTGCCAAAGTTTGGGTTAAGCTCTAGCTCTGCCACTTACTACCATTTTTTTAAAAATGATTTATCTTCATAGTCTGTAGTGGAAACCATATTTTAAAAATAATTTATTTAATTTTTATTTTATGTGCATTAGTGTGAAGGTGTCAGATCCCTTGGAATTGGCATTACAGACAGTTGTGGGTGATGGGAATTGAACCTGGGTCCTTTGGAAGAGCAGTGCTCTTAACCGCTGAGCCGTCTCTCTAGCCCCACAGCCCCACTTACTAGCTTTTAGATAATTTTGAACAGTCTCTCAACTTATAGGCCTGAATTTTCTTAGGTATCTTTTGTTTTGGTTTTTTGTTTGAGTTTTAGACAGGGGTTGGCTCTTGTTATATACACCTGGCTGGCTTCGAACTTAAGAGATCTACCTGCCTCTGCCTTCAGGTGCTAGGCTTAAAGGTGCGTGATAAGGATGATGACTTTAAAACAGAACAAAAACCCAAACAACGAAACCACTTTTCTTCCTTTTACGAAGAAAATTGAAGATACAAATCTGAGGCTGGGGATGCTGTTAGGTGGCGGGACACTTGCCTGGCATCTGTGAGGCCCTGGCTTTAGGCCCTGATATTGTGAAAGTGTGTGTGTTTCACAGACAGTAAAACCACCAATCACTTGTTAAATTTCATGTGGTTTCTTTGGTGTGCCACAGTCATCCTTTAAAAAAAAAAAAAAAAAAATGTGTATGGGTGTTTTGCCTGAATGTCTCTGCAGGCACCATGTGATAGGCCTAGTGCTCATGGAAGCCAGAAAGAGCTTCCTCTGTAACTAGAGTCACAGTTATGAACTGCCATGTGGGTGCTAGGAACTAACCCAGGCCCTCTGCAAGAACAAGTGCCCAGAACTGCTGAGCCATCTCTCCAGTGCCTGAAAAACTACCTATAATGACATAAAATATTGATTATAGGTAGTCTGTTGTTCAAGCTAAATTAGAGGTGCTTAATGTCTTCTTCATTCAGAGTCAATTTAGAAGCAGTAATGAAATGATCAGAGAAAGGTCTCCTTTGAATTCTAAGCGGGAATGAAGTTTGGCTTCCTGCTGTTCCTTATAGTTGAACTCATTCATCCAGCTAAATCGAACAGTTACAAGATTAGACCTCTGCTTAGTTACACTGGGTCTTGAGTTCCCTTGTATAAAGTTAATGTAGTCACTCAGAATTCCAACTAGAAAATTGCATATTCTCAATGAAACCATGTAGATTCACACCCAGCTGCTAGCTAAATACTGTTCATGATCTATTCTCTTGCTGTGAAGTCATTAACAAATTTGGCTGGTCAAGCATTATATAAATCAGGAAATTATGACCTTTAGCTGATTAATTTTCGTCCAAATTTGGATTGTGAATGGTTTAAAGACATTGCTTACTTAAATCACTGTTCAAAATTAACGGCTGGAATGGATAAGATTCTTTTAAACATTCCTAGCCCGGAATGATCTGTAAGAAGTTACTCTCCTTGGCCATTTGGAGGGAAGAACCTGCTTCTTGGAGAGGGTATGAGTTTCACATACTCTACCAGCAGTTGTCGGCCCTCCCAGCAGGCCAGGGTTGTGCAAGTGACCACATACGGCTATTCATGAGTTCCTGTGACGAGAGCCGAGTACTTCATACATGCTGCTACTTCACTCGTAAGGTCCCAATCAGTTGTGAAGCTACTAAAAACTTGAGAGTCAGGCATAATTATATTTGTCCATTTATAAAGTGCAGGGTTTTTTCCAAGCAAATTGTTATCCATATCACCTAAACTATACTATAGAAAACTTTGCATGAAAGTTCTTTGGTGTTCCTCTGAGCTATGTTCGTGCATGGAGAAAAATCCTTGCTCTGTTGACATTAATGTCAAGATCAGTTCTTCTTCCATTTGGGCTGAGGAGATACTCGGTGACAGTGATCGCCTACTGTTCACGAGGCCTAGTCCCTGCCGCCCACCTCCCTCAGTGTTCTACACACTCTTGCTGTTTGTGTGGTCAATGCGCTAACAATTTGTTTCCCACACTTTTTTGAACCCTAAAATAGACCTGAATTGGACGTGGGGGAGGAATGTGAATAAAATACTACGAGCAGATCAGCACTTAAAGGAAAACAAAAGTTAGACTTCAGTTTCTGCTAGAGTCACAGGCTAAGAAGCTCCTGCTTGTTCAGGGTCTAAAGAAGTGCTCTTTCAGGTGTAGGTATAAATCTGACAAGTCAGCACACAAAAATGAGTCTTTTATTAATTGGATCCGTATATTGTGTGTGTGTTGCTGGAGATGGAGTCCACAGCCTTATTCATGCTAAGTACGTACTCTACCATTGAGCTGTACTCCCAAACCCAGCCCTCAGTATCGAGCTTGATATTCTGTAGTGCCTGCCCACGAACCCCAGCTTTCATTGAATTTCTAGGTACTGCCAACAAACCTATGCTTTGAGTTTCCCTATTGTAGTCACATGTACAAGTTTTAGTGAAACCAGCTGAAATCATTTCAGTTTAACTTGCTCTTTTCTTTTGGTTCATGCTTTTTAAAAATAAATCTGATGTTATCAGGCAGATTTTATCATGAAACTGACTACAAAAGGCATTGATCACATGAGTATAAAATGGTTCTTTGAGAGTAGGAAACTGCTAAGTGTCAGTGTTTTTATCCCTATCAACTCTGAATTTAAAAATATTCTAGCAGCTAGACAAAGCATCAGAATGTTGCTCCTTTAATCATCTGAATAGAAAGTGTTAAATTTAAAAACACCTTTCTTCCTACTGTTTAGGTTGGTCACAGCAGATGTAGCTTTTTACACTGGAAATCTTCAAGCCTTAAAAGGCCTTAAAGATCTGGATCTAAATATGGCCGAGATCTGGGAACAGAAGAGGTGATGACAGATTGGAAACCCGGGTAGTTTGTCTGACTACAGGATGTGTTTCTGAAGAAAATCTGGATGCCTGGTGTTTTAAGAACTGAACCTGGGACCCAAAGTGAACTGAGGCGGGGGAAGGGAAAAGAAGCATCAGTGTTGGGACTGGATTCAGTGGGATCCACAAGGAACGCCATGTTTGTGCGTCCTTCAGTAAGGAGTAACTGATCAGGTGTCTATAACAGTTTTCATTCTCTCTGGAAACAGACTCAGGTTTCTTTGGACCAAATCCAAAAGAACACATAGCTGTAACACAGCTGTAGTTGCCTAGAATGCTCTGTATACTTTATATTAAAATGCTCTGCATTTCTTCCAGTGCAATGAGATTCATATGGTGTCCCACCTTATTAATGATGGTACAATTGAAGATATGAAAATCTTAGTCAACCTCTGTAGAAAGTTTTCTCTATGAAAGTAAAGCTGTTTGAAAATTATTTTTTTACAGATCTTTATAAAAAATAAACATCTTTTGATTGCTTGGATTTAGGAATTCAGTTTTTGTTTTAGTGACTAATGTCAAGTTTCAGGTTTTTGTGTGTTGCATATTTAACTTTTCCACTACCACTGTTATGTCACTGGGTAAAGCCGCAAACTGATAAATACATGGAAGACTGATTGTAAGGAATAAAGAATATTTGCATTTACTTATGCAACTACTAATTTAAGTACTCTCCAGAAGTGATATACACAAAACTATGATTTAATAATAGTATTTATGAAAGTACCTATGAAGGGCTTGGGGTTGCATTGTTTTTTGCTTTTTTATTTCTAGCAGAGGCAAGAATACATATTCATAATATGCCTACTTATGAATTCTCATTTTAACATTTAGATAACATGAAATATGGCCCTCTTGGATTCTTAATTAATTTTAAGTTACTTTTGATATGTATATAATAAGTAAAGACCAGGGATAAACAGAACTTTTAAAATACAGGCTGCTATGTTGGGGCCAGAAATACAAGGTCGACGAGTAAGCAATCCGAAGACTTTTATAATACCTACCTTCAAAATCAGAATTGGCAGCACTCTACAAGTGAAAGTGCCTGTGTCTCACACCAAGAATCTTGCCTAACTCTGTCAGAGTGCCTAATCTTATGGTGATAATGTACAATGAAATAATCTTACTTTGTGGAGGGTTTTTTTTGTTTGTTTGTTTTGTTTTCTCAAGAGAATCTTTTTTTTTTTTAATCATTACAGAGGTATGTCATTGGTTCTTAAACTGTCAAAAATAAAGATGTAAAAAATCATCAGACTTAAAAGGCAACTTTTTTCAATGGTATAGAATGCAGTATACTTTAAACATAGCCTTTTCCAAACCAATATGGAAGAACTGGAAACATTACTTGCTTAGAGAAAGGTTTCTATCAGGAGACCTGACTGTAAAGGTAATCATAGTTCTGAATGATAACAAGTGTTAAGAACTGAAGCTTTAATGAAGGGGAACGTGTAATGAGGCTATCCCCCAGCATAGCTTTAGGGTACAAGGATGTGAAAGACATGCTAGACCTTTGCCTGCCCCACCCCTTAAGCTGTGGGGGAGGGGGGCTGTTTCATCAGCATGGCGGGCGTCCCAGTTTTAGAACCAGATGAAGAACACTAAGATACCTTCAAGTTCCGTGTTTAAGAGTCTTAAAAGTGAAAAACAAGAAAACCAGCCTGGCTAGTGAGAAAACGGCAAGAGCAAACCTTCCAGTCTACACTGGAGCAAGAGTACACTGTCTTCTGCAGTTTCACAGAGTGAGCATTAAACAGCACAGGTAACACGTGGATTTTTATTATTATTTTTGAAATCAAAGGCAATTCAAAGTGGCCATCACTGAAGCTTCTGTTAAAGACTGCAGAGCTGGACCACCTAAGATTAAATAATATTGCACTTTAAGAGGAACTACTATCTAGGCTCTTCATCAAACAAGGAAAGTACTGCTTCATCTATGCTTTCCTTAGACTAAAACTAAAAATCAACACTGCAGAATACAGCACAGTAAATAAAGTACCTGCTTATTTTATAATCTTAAGAGTACATTTTATTGTAGGAAACTCTTTAGCCTGTATCTGGCAGCGCTTATTTCAGTGGTCCAGGATGCGAAGATTTCCAGATACAATCTTGTTCTCTAACACTGCTCCAGGGGGGATGTCAATTCTGTCACCATGATTTGCAATAATGATAACTGTTCCCTAAGTGAAGAAAAAAAATCAAGATTGTACTTAAAATTGCATCTTAAGCATACAACTGGTTATCTTAAAATCAAGCTCATGTCAACTCCTTTTACAATGTAGCTGCTGTAAATATAAGTAAATTAAACATGCGGTCAATAAGGAAAATGACGTCCTTTTATCACAATCCTAGTGGCGTTTCTAGACTCCCGTCTCCATAGAGGTGGCAGCAGAAATGGGAAGCAGATGCAGGCCACGGCACAAAGGGCCCACCTTCAGTCGTGAGGAAGTAAGGGTGGCTGGCTCTCAGTACATACAGGGTTGGTTTTGGTGTGTGTCTGGGTTAGTACACCTGCACGAGGCTGTGGAGACCTCAGGTGTTGTCCCTCATGCGTCACACACTTCTCTCTCTGCCTCCCAGAGTCCTGGGATTATAGGTGCGCGTGCCACCGCGCCAGACTACATGTCCCCCTTTTGAGACAGGATCTCTTTCCCATTTTGCTGGAGCTCAGTGGGCGGAGAGCAACATGGTGAGGCAGCAGAAAAGCTGGCCAGCAAGCTCCAGGGACCTGCCCATCTGCTGCTGCAGTGCAGGCACGACAAATCATGTGCCACCACGTGTTCTTAGGTTCTACAGGGTTGAGCTCCTCGGCCCCTACTCCTGCCTTTTTTGTTTTGAAGAAGTTACTGGTAACATTTACATTTTAGTGACATTTTAGATTGAGCAGTATACACAGTGAAGTTACAGTCATGTATAATCTTGTTCTAACACCATTGAAGCAAACGGTCTTAATGTAAAGGAACACCTGAAATATCAATATAGGGGTTTATAAGACTGTAATTAGGAAAAGGCAAGTGTATCTTCAGTTTAGCTTTATTATTAGCCACCCTCCATATTTCTCAAGAGGAACAGATCATTGGCTACCCGAAGTTATTTTTCTACTTTCAGTCCTATAGTGAGTTAATTCATAATGCTAACGGGCACCCTATTCTGAAAACTGTCCCATTTACCTACCAACTAGTGTTTACTTTTTCATTTGAGGGTTATTTTCCACAAAATTCTGGTGTTATGATCGCATTTTAACTAGGTAAATACACGGAGATACAATGATGATCTGATCGTCTGCTCAGACTAATTACTCCTTAGTGAATGTAAATTTAGGACTAGAAAGTGAGGCCTAATTTTATAAAGCCATAATAAATATGACTTTCATCATACCTTTAACGAAACATTTTTTCCAAATGTTACATCTCCTGAAACAGTGAGGTGGTCCAATTCCAGCATATCAGGTATACTTTCAAACCTCCTTAGGTAATCTTGAACCTTCAAGTAGAAGCATAAATAGTCTTTCAGATGCTAGCACATGAAAGCACTAGAACCCAAGGGATGCAGATCCAAGGACCTCCCCTTTGAGTACAATTGTGCCAAAAGGGATTTCTCTTGTCTCTCCAGTTTGCCTCTGCTCCCGCATACATACCTCATAACTACTCTGCATCTGCTCATGCATCACTCAGCCACAGTTCAGAATCAAGTTTCCATTTCTCTTGTCTAAATTACCATAGGCATTCTTTATTTCACTGTCTGTACTCTCATCTCATACACTCTCCCTTACTCTTTTCTTTTTCTCTTACCCTCACTGTCCACCTTTCTTTACTTCTAATTATAACCCTCCACAGCTTTAAGAATCTCTAAATCTGTGGACCCTAATGGTACCTCAATTTTCCCTCCTAGAATTGCTCCCTATGTGCTCCAGTATTTGAATACCTCCCTGGGCTGGTGTCACCGTTAGGTTTACGAGGAATGGTCTTGATGGAAGAAGTATGTTACAGGGATGAGGTTCTGGAGCGTGAAGCCTTGCCCTATTTCCAGTTTGCATTCTCTGCTTGTGAGAGTATGAGCTATCAGCTTCCTGTTTCTGCTGCCATGCTTTTCCAGCCATGACAGAATAAACTCATATTCTTCTGTAAGTTGCCTCAGTCGCAGAATTGTAGCCAAACATCTGTGTCTCCCCCAGTCAATACCCTACTTGGGGAATAATATAGAGCTTACAACAGGCACTCCTAGACTGAAGAATTATTTTCTCAACTATACTCTCGGCATTACCACAAACAAGTCCCACTTGAACACTGCAAGTACTTCAACTGAAAAAATACAGCTGACGAAAGAAAGCAAAGAAATAACACCAGATGTCCAAATCCCAATGCATGAAAACACCTAGATAATATCACTCTTCCAAATGACACGTAATCTCAAACAGGTAATTCAAAACAATATGTATGTTCAAAGACCAACAGCTAAACAAAATAGGGAAGGTGGTAGATGATAAGAAAGAGTTCAACAAATACTGAAAAACTAATCTTAAATGTTGGATAAACACATAAAACACAGTAAGTTAAAAACCTCTGTGGAGCATCTTAACAATGGATCAAGGAGAGGAAAGTAAGTGATCTCAAAGGCAAAAGGGAGGAACTGGACAACCTAAAAGGACAGAAATTATCAAGGACCAGTGGAATTCCAAGATGCCTGAAAAACTTTGAAGAAACCAAGTCTCTATGTTATGGGCATAGAAGGAGAAGATTATTCTCAAAACACAGAAGACACTTTTTAGGGCTGGGCATGATGGCACAGGCCTTTAATCCCAGCACCTGAGAAGCAGAGGCAGGCAAAACTCCTGTGAGTTAAAGCCAGCCTGGTCTACACAAAGTTCCAGGACAGCCAGGGCTCCATAGTGAGTGAGATCATGTCAAAAACATTTCAAAATAATAACAACAGAAGACTTAGGAAAAAGATAATCCTGGTGGAGGAGGCATTTAGGATTCCAATAGACAAGACCAGAAAATAACCTCTCCTTGTCATAATTAAAACACTATATGCACTGAGCAAGTATACTGAAAGTAGCAAGAAAGAAACATATAAAGGTAGGCCCATCAGATATAACAGTAGATTATTAAAGAAATGTTAAAGCCAGAATGGCTTGGAATAATGCTTTCAAGTTCTGAGATAGTAATTGCCAACCAAGAATACTGCAGGTAGCATAATTGAAGAAAAGACAAAACCTTCCTTGATAAAAATAAACTAAAGAAATGTGTAACTACGAAAACCAAGTATCTTCTACAGAAGATACTTGAAGGAATCCACCCAAAGGAAGGTCACAGGAAATAAACCACACTAAAATAATACTAAAAAAGGAAAAAATATTAAAACCCCTTAACAAATGGCATGGATCAATACACAACTTTCAATAATATAATATTAATGGTCCCAATTCCCCAACCAAAAAACGGGCTAGTACACTGAGTCAAAAAGTAGGAGCCACCTTTTCACTACCAACAGGAAACACACAATCAAAGAACAGAGGTTATAAACAAACCTCGTATGTCACCACAAAAGACACTACTCTAGGATGGGAGAAGTATTTTAAGCATAAGGTCCTGCAAAACAAGCAAGTGTTACTGTTGTACTATCTGACAAAGTGGACTTTAAAACTGGTAAAAGCACAGGAAAAATGGATGGAATTGGGAAACACAATCTGCAGTGTGGTAAGCCAAGCTCAGACAAAAATGTGTCGCAAGTGCCCAGTTTCCAATGTGTGGATTTACCCACTTAACTTGGAGTATCTATGGAGCCCCTGAAACTAGAAGGGGCCCAGAAGGAGCAAGGGGAGAAGAGGTCTTAAGAAGCAAGGGAACAGAAGATCCATCAATATAAAAGTAGGTGAGGGAATACTGTAAGTTTAAGGCTTAAGCAGAAACAGGGGCAGGAGAGAGGAAGGGCGGGGTGAGTCAACCAAAACTAAGGATAAATGAAAATGCTCTATGAAAACCCATTACTTTGACCAGTACCCTGCATGGATGGACAAGGCTTTCCCCAGAAGATACTGGTTATTAAGTTAAAATCTTAGTGCCAGGCATAGGAAACCCTTTAAAAGTTCCTGGTCAAGGAGGTCTCAGTCCACCAAAAGAACAAAGGCTATTGCTGTTGCTCCTGGTTGCTCATCAGAACTAAATGGTACAATGCTTTGCCAAAGCCAATACATTTTGGTTGTAGGATAGACAAACAAGCTGGAACTGACCCCAAACCTTCCCCTTTGCTGAATAGCTTTCACAGAAAATGCTGCTTTGTAGGCCACAGGGGAAGAAAAGCTGTCAATGGTCTTGTGTAGTGGCAGACTCTGTGCCACAATACAAACGTCCCAAAGATGCCCGTTGGGCCACAACTGCTTTCATATTGGAGGCCTGTTCCACAGAAGGAAAGCCATCCTCGCACTGTCCATCTGGCCAAAGCCCCTGGCTTAGGAGGTCATAAGCCCTGGGAGGGAGGGAACCTACAACTGTTGTGTTGCTAAAAGGTTATGTTCTTAAAGTGCCTGGTAAATACTTACGTTTCTAACACAGATTACTGCTGCCCTCAACCTTGACTAGATACTATCTTGCCAGTGGTCAACAGTCACTGCAGACCCCTAACTGGTCTAAGTGCGGAGAGTAAGTGACTGTTGAGTTCTCAGACCTAAATGGAACATCTCCATCAATCCCAATCTCAAGAATCAGGGAACATTCAGAAGAGTGAGTGGAAAGAATGTACGAGCTGGAGGAAGGGGCTCAGTGCTGTGAAATACTGTCTTCTGGAAACGGCATGATCACTGAATTCATGATCTCGCCACAACTAGGGTTATTTGTCTGTATAAGATCAAGCCAGCATAATCAGCATTCTAAAAGGTAGCACTGATTTCACTTGGTTATTAAAAACAAACAAACAAACAAACATGAAGGAGAAAGGCTGATGTGTTGGTTCCGGAGGGAGTTGGAAAGTAGGGGACAGAATCAAGAAACAATGTTTGCAACTATAAAATTGTCAATATTTGATCAAGACATCTTTCAAAAATGGATGCATGACAGCAGACTGCCTGCAGAAGATCAGGCCAGTCCAAATTTCGGCACAGACTACTGGACCCCTGAGGCCTACACTACAGCTAGAGCTACCAACAGCTCCTGGCCACTGAGGGCAGGTCACTTCTGGTATGCGCATGCCCCAGTGAATAGCCCCATGCCCATTTGTCCATGGTTAGCTTTCATTAGACTTGGAGCTATTAACAATTTTTTTTTTTTTTTTTTAAAGAGGGACTGGAGAGATGGCTCAGCAGTTAAGAGAACTTAATTCTTGCAAAGGACCTGCCTTCACTTCCCAGAACCTGCATCAGGCTGATTATAACCTTCTCTAACTCCAGTTCCAGGGGATATGGTGCCTTCTCACCTTCGAGGGCATTTGGTGCACGCGTGTGGTGCACATAAATTCACACAAGGCACACACATGCCCCCACGAAAAAACGAAAGACAAATCTTTACAAAAATAGATGAGGTGGGAGGGGAGAGGTTGGTGGGCTGGGGGTGGTAGTGATGGATAAGACTATATATGTACAAAAACAGATAAAATATTTAAAACAGAAAAACGGATTATATTTAGAAGATATCTTAACTATAAACATTTTCCCGGCCAAGTTCTTCTGTGGGAGAACCTATTTATTTGCACTCATATTCAACCTCCTATGATGGAGAGAGCAGTAGACATTACTGAAAATCAAGCATTTTATAATGCAGTTGAGCAGAACAGATGTTTTGTTTTAAAATGAGAAAACAAATGAGTACCCATCCTATTAAAACAGATGAGTGGTTTCCAAAGGATTTAGAGAAAGAGGAGAGACCATCAAGGCTTGAGTATCCTGGACTGGAGCTGGCCTTACGGGATAGGCAGGAGTCACAGGTGCAGCAGGGCTCAGGAGGAGGGACAGCACAGATCATTTGTGATCACCACATGCTTCGTTCTTTCTTAGACTTTGTTTTCTATTTGCTAAGGAAATAAAGCCCTACTGGTTTTGGCTCCTACTATGCCATTCTGCCTCTCTGTCTACTCTTTTATCCCTTGCTGACTGGACTCTAATTAGACATGAAGACAACCTCTCCACTTTTAGATGTTTTCTTAGGCTATTCAAGAATTTGTTCCAGGAGTCTCCTTCAAATAATTTTCCCCTCCTGATTATATTAATTTTCATCAATATATAAGCAAATCCTCTCATATTTTGAGACAGAAACCCTCAAAATGGCAAAATATCTTTTGACCTATGACCTAATTTTTTTTTCTTTGTGATGTCAACTCTTAAAATTCATCTCTAACTTCAATTCTCCATCTTCCTTAAATCCATTCCAGTTAGATTCCCAAACTTCATACTGGTAAGTCTAATGGTGAATTCTCCATTTGACACATGGCTCCCTCCACCTTGAAACTTATTTTTCATCTTTCAGGACCCACATATTCATACTTTGCTACTCAATTCTTCATCTGCACTCTAGACCAAATGGCACTACAGCACATCCAGGACTAGACTAGACTTGGAGGGCACAGCAGGCTCTCTGAGGCTAGCCACCAGCCTGCCCTGTTGCCTTAGGGTGGGGTTTTCTACGTCTACTCCTCACCCTGCCTGGCTCTAATCCACTGCATACGTAGCCTCTCCCCGAGGCTCTCTATGCCAGCTCGGGCGCCCCACTCTGTCCTCACTGTGTTCTCCAGAGTCTTCACTACCTGCCATACTATGTGTTTCATGTACTGGCTTCTCCCACTAGAATGTTAATTTTATGCAATAAGAGTTTCAGTTTGCTTTGTCTGCTCCTGTGTTTCCAAATCTAGAAACTGCCGAGGAGATGGTAGGAGCACAGTAAGTATTTATTAAACCAGAATTAACCTTTTCTAACTCAGGAAAACAGTCTTGGAAAAGACAAGATAAAATGTCACCAAATTGAAGCACTCTTTCCTAACTCTCCAGAGCAACCACAGAGACTACAGTCAAATTCCTTTAAACCATACAAAAGATGGAGGGATACAAAGTTAGCAGCAGAAAGCAATTTTCCAGGTAGCTTTCCAATTACCTACCTTGGTAAAAGAACTGCCTAATTTAACCAAGGGTACTGTAGGGAATTCCCGCTTTTCACTCATGGTCAAAGATCCTGCATTAAGGCTGTAGAGGTTTGACATCACAAGTAAGAGATCTGATGTGGTTTTCACAGGCAGAAAACGACTCCGTGGAACATTAATACCTAAAGAATTCTCGAAACTTTTAATTGCAGCTCCAACTGCAGTTTCTAACTGAATGACATTCAGGCCTCCATCCAAAGTCTGTAAAAAGGCAAGAAGAAAAAAGGAGGTAGAAGAAGAGTAGGGAAACAAAGGGTTTGGGGCTTGCTTTTGAGACAGGATCTTATGTGCCACACTCACTGGCCTCGAACTCACTATGTACTGAGGACAACCTTGAACCACTTCCAACTGCTGGAATTACAGATGTATAGCACCACCGACCCAGGAAACACAGGTTTATGCGCCTATTACTCAGCTTTGTTCTATGAGTGATGTTAGTACTTGGGAAGCGGGTTCAGAGTCCTGAGAACTGACATTAATCAAATATTACTGGCTCACATATATGTTTTGGTTTGGTTTTTTAAGTCTCTTGAGTCAGCAATGTGTCCATTTTTCACTAACGAGCCAGGGTTGGGAAAACTTATGCAAGATGCCTACAATAAATGGCATATGAGCATAAAAGCAGTAACTAAGCTGAAGGAGGTCCTCCAGGAACACATCACCGGGATGAGTGCAGACTCTGGAGGGCAAGCTGACTAGATAAAGAGCTGTTACTTAGGGAGTAGGGTCTGCTTTTAGAAACCAGGGAGCCCGCTGGACCGTGACCCTCACTTACCTTTGGATTCACAATGATTTCCATGTCAATGGCATTCTGTTCCTGCAGTCTTTTAACTGCTGCAAGAGAAATCCATAGGTTGTTTGTGTTAAATATTTTAAATTTTGACACAGACTTGAATTCATCAACATGTGCTTTTGGCACTTGAGCGATTTCCACCAGTCTCAGTTTGCCTTCATACTGAGTGAGTGTCCCACCCTAGAAAAGCAGAAAATCATGAGTGCTTCCAAATCTTTTGCAATCAGCCTTACCACACTGATTATGACTTCCATAAATTTTCATAGAAGACACTGACTAGATAATCTTCTAATATACAAAGTGACATATTCATGATTCAGATTCTTACTTTGTCATAAACATTCATTGTCCTGTCTATAATTAAAGCCCCGGCAGTACCAGAGTCGTCCTCCCCTCCTAAAGTCTGCTATAGGAACATTTACTCCCAAACCACTGCCCATCACCACACAATTTAGTCCTACCTAGATGAGGTCTAGGATGAGGGGAGAAGGGAGACAAATGAGTGGATGAGAAGTAAATTGAGGCTAAATTTACTGGCAACCACAAGACCAAGCCAGTATGGGAGGAGGAGGCACATATCCAGAGGAGAGGATGTTTTGGTATGGACTGGCCACAGAAAACAATAAAATCTTATGTGCCATTTTATCAAAGGCCAATATTATCGCCAAATATGCCATGTTCAATTTACACTTTGTACTAACACAACTGCATTCTATTTGCACAACTACAAAGACAGTGAGGTGTCAAAGTACACATATGACACACAAACTCACTCTGTAGAAGCAGACTGCCATTAAAGAAGTGACATCATAAAATACCTAACACCAAACTGGAAGAGTACTACTGGCGTGGACAAATGTTTTGTATTTTCACATAGTTCAGATCTGTTCCATAAAAGCATATGAAACGGCTTCCAATTTAAATTACTGAACAGATTTATACTATTATTAATTCTGAGTTTATGATACACACTTTTATCTTAAAACTTAAGGTAACCCACAGAAAACACCACACTCTCTTAAAATGATATTAAGTAAATAATACGTTGTGCATAAAATAGAAACATAAATTAGAAAAAAATTAACCATGTAGCTTATCAAATGTTTTACCTTTACGTCTGCTCGTGTTTTATTTGTGACTTCCATGACAAATTCACAGCGTTTCCCATTGGGTGGGTTCATTAGATGGTTAAGAATATAAAGATCTACTGTGGCACCCAGGTTATCTATGTTAGACACAAAAATATACTCTTTGCCTTCGTCTATAAAGGCGTCGAGTAAGCCAGAGTTATAGAAACTAGCATAGATATCTCCATGCCCTGGAGGGTACCATGCTTCTGTATTTTCCCCTGAGTACGACACATCCTTTGCTATAGGAAGTAAAGACTCTTTATTAATCCTCGGGTACCTTTAAAAACAAAAACAAAACAAGGAAGTTATTATACGGATTCTGTAGTGTACCCTAATCCTTCAAGAAAAACAATACATTAAAATTAAATAAGGGCTGGAGAGATGGGTCAGTGGTTAGTTACGTGCACGGAACTGCTCAGTTCCCAGCACCCATCTCAGATGGCTCACAAGCTCCTGTAAACCATTTCGGGGACATCCTCTTCTATTTTCCTTAGCACCCACACTCATCTGCACATACCCACACACAGATACACACAAACACAAATAAGACAAATACAAAGAAAACAAACTCTTTAAAATATTAAATAAAACATCCCTCTCTTTCAAAGACTGTCAACAGTAATTTATAGGTGAATCTTTTTAAGAAAGTCTGTCATTATTATTTTTAAAATCCATTTTCCAGAGTGTTATCAAGGAAGTTTTCTGAGGCCACACAGAAAAGGAAGACACTCCTATTTTTAAGGTGTTTTGTTTTGTTTCCAGGTCTCTAAAAGGAAGGACTCGGTAAACGATCCTTTTAGCTCTTTGGTTGCAGGAAGGCCCTGTGCCTGGGAGTCTATCTGAGGACGCCTGCCCCTTCTTCAACAGTGTTCTCAGGGCTGCTTCCCGCTTCCCCTCCTTGAGCGTACCGGGATCTGCACATGGGAGAACTGGCAAACAGTAACGGGAAGCACGAAAGAGCACAGGACAGACAGAGCCTGTTAGGACTCAGGGAACAAACATGACAATGTGAAAAAAATACCAACCAACTAATGACCTGACTTTAGACATACCATTTCCAAAGTGTCCATAGGCTGCTATCTATCCCTAAATAGAAAGCTTGTTCCCTAAGTCACCTGAATTTCTTTCTACTCACTCTATTCCCCTCTCAAAGTAGATGCTTTTCTCCAAAACTTACTTAAATTTCCAGAGGTCTATCCATTCAGGGTCTATCTGTTTAGGGTTGAATAAACTCCCTCCCATTGGCAAGGTTTTTAGTATTGTGGTTTGCAGGAAGTCATCCACCTAACTAAAGACCTTCACATGCAAAGGCTTTATAAACTGTCCTTAAATATTTGGGACATAGAATAAGACCTGAAGTAGATCCCCTGAGAAAAGGGAAGCGCTAGAACCCACGTTTGTAACCATCACGCATCTTTCAGCGTGTGTCTAGCTTTGAAGGCTTCAGCTCTTGCACGAATTGGCCCCCTGCTGCAATGAGGCGACTGCTCAACAGTGAAGAGAACGCTCAGGGTCCAGTACCACCAGCCAATTCTTTTTATTTCTGGTACCTGCTTTGATTGAAGGTGTAGATTTTCACACGACAGTGACTGTACTTCTGAAGTATTTTTTTGGTATCTTCATCCGTGTTAAAAGAGTTCATTAAAACAAGAGGAACATCTGTATTATAGGTCTTGTTTAAATGCTAAAAAGGAGAATGACAAATAGATCACCCAGAGTCACATTCTCTGACTTAAAATGTAAGCTATTCTCTTCAGTGGTTAGGATCGGAATGTTTCAAACCTGACCTACAGCTCTCTCCGGGTTTATACATGCACATATCCACACATTTTGTGTACGAGCCAGGTGTGTAGCTAAGCAAGTCACCACACACTCATTCAATAGTCAGCTGAGACCTCTACTTGGTGGCTCAGGGCAGCTCCCCCTGGACTGCCTGCACAGGCAGCATTGTTCTATGACTGGAAGGCAGACAGGTGCTGACTAAGCATTTGCTCGTGGATCTAAGTTCTGTGGGGACGGGCATACAAATGCTACAAAGTCATGGATTCCTGTTCCCAGGGTGAATTCAAACTCTTCAGTCACACTTCAGTCTTCTCAGTCTCTCAAAAGAGCCAAGAAGCAACATAATAGAAAAGATTCTTAGAGAACAGACTGTCTCATGTTCAAATTTTGATTCTACTTTGCTAACTAACTAGAAGCCGTGGGCTTGGACCCACACTCAGAATGTGGTAACAGTACTTGTGAGTTGCTGAGAGGAATAAAGGGTCACTTTGGAGAAACCACTTAGAATGCCTGCTGCACAGTAAATACTGGATGAATCTTAGCTGCTGCTGCTGCTGCTGCTGGTGTCATGACTGTAGCTGCTAGCCTCACATCAGACAAGAGAGAAAGAGGTGGAAAAAGACAGGCCCTTGTCTCGTGAGGTCAACAATTAGTAACTGTCAAAGAAGGAAGCCAAGAACAGCTCTTAGTGTCCACCGCATCCGACCAGAAGGGGGAAGAGACATCTTCCCCAGCTTCCCAAAAGGGAGTCAGTCAGAAAACTCCAGTGTCATGAAGCTACCATTAGAAAGAAAGTAGTTAGAGAGGGCAGATCACAGGAGACTCTGAACAGACCCAAAGCTTTCACTGACCACAAATGCCATTTAAAATCAAGCTTACACCACCCAACACACACTAATAAAGAGACAAAAGAGCAATCCCATCAACTAGATCAAACTCACATCTACACTTAATAATATAGCTCTTATATTACTGTAGAGACTAAACCCACTGTAGTTTCTTATGAGAAAGGTTAAATGCTACTCACCTCAATTTGCTGAACAGTTAGATCCAAAAAGGTATTCTCATTTCTTACACCAATCAGACTTTTAGGGCCTTTGCAGCCCATGCTGGTTCCCAGACCACCATTGAGTTTCACCACCACCAGTTTGTTTAATACAGAAGATATGTTATCAGGTAAGCCTCTGGCCTTTATCTTTTCATAGGGTTGAATCTGAAAGAAAATATAAAATTAGGTGTAATTTAAATAGCTTTATGAGGAGTTAAGGAAATCAATCTAAGGTTACTTCCATGGTTGCTTAAAAAGTTTTGGTCTCTCGGTGTAAAGCTCCGACAGGCGCACGTGGGCTATTTCCCTTGCACAGAGAGGAGCTCAGTGTATTGACCACAGTCAGACTTGGGTCCGACCAGACAGAGTGTCTCAATCTTGAATTACCTTAAGAAGCTACTTTCAATTTTAATCAAAATATCAAATCAAGTCTAGTATTTCAGGGGCATTACCCTCTGCTTCAATTCTGGAGAGTAATGTATATTAATCATATACTACTTTTCCTACTACAGGAGGCAAAAACCAACATATATGTTTTTTGTCCTACTTTTCCATTTAGCTGTAAGATGACTCTTCAGAACAACGTGGCACAGACTTTCAGTCACAATTCTAGGTATGCACAAGCACAGTTCCTTCCTGAGAAGTTTAATTCTAGGGTGTCACTTTATAAAAACATGTACTGGAAAATTAAACATACTTGTTCTCAGAAATGCCATGGGGAGGGAGAGCTGAGGCTGGAGCTGGGGAAAGCCACCCCACCTCCTCTCTAGCACCCTAGCTCTGTGAGCAGAGCGCCTTAGTCTCGAATTTGCCCTTCAAGCACAGAAACAATGCTGTTTATAGGAAAGACCCATGTTTTTGCTGTTGTTGAAAGCAGAGTAACAAACCTTACATTTTATAGCAAGAATGACAGCTTTTAAAAGGTCACAATGCACCTCTACCCATCTGTGGCAGCCTGTGGCTTGCTCTAAGAGCACAGGTCCTCAAGTGGCTTCTTTAGTCTCATCACGGTATGAGACAGAAGCACCCAAGTGGTTCCTCTATGAGTATCAGCTGTTATTTGTCCTGCTATCTGTTACTGTGCACTCGTGTAAGGTCATTTTTGATTGGGAAAGAACAGACCTAACGGGCTCACCTCTTGTAGTCTAGGCCTTGAAGGTCAACATCTCGGTGTGTTTGATGGACAAACTCAGTACACAATTCTTGTTCACAGATCTTTCTACAAAATACTTAGTCTGCAACTTAGTTCTTAATTGCCAACTGTAGACGAATACTGTCTTACATGGTGTAAACACGAGAGTACACAAGCTCTTCTCACAGCTTCCTACTGATGATGCTCAGTATCCCTCATTCTGAGCTATTTCTCCCTGTGGCAGAACTGTCCATTTTCTTCCTAACTGCTGCATAGGCTTCAGTAGCTATTCTCATTCATGCAACAAAAGAAAGGCTGGTGACAATAAATAAATAAATAAATAAACAAACAAACAAACAAATAAATAAATAAATAAATAAATAAGATTTTTAGAAAATTAAAAAAATAAAACATTGAAGAGGTGTAAAGACACTCTAGTGAAGAAAAAGTCCCAATTTAAATGTCTCACCATCAAAAAATAAAAACAGATGACAGAGATGGAACTTTCTGTCCCCTTACGTAACTGTATTTTATAGTCCTTTCTGACCCAGCTGCTGAAATCAACTGGTGAGTAAGAGAATGCCACTCTGCCACAGTGGTTCCAAGGAGTCTATTATTCTTTTAGGAGATGTTCTTGGGCACATGATATTTACTCTAAAAAGTTAGTTATTTCCCAGTTATTTTTTAAAAGCCAATTAATTTCCATTTAGCAGTTACTTTCCCTTCCCACACTAAGCATGAAATTAAAAAATCTAGTTGTTAATTCATTTTAGGTAAGACTGATACATCAGAAATATTCTTATTTAACTAATGCTCTTGCTCTGGATATGTTTTTTAAAAAAATAGAATGATACATCAGAAATATTTTTATTTAATTAATGCTCTTGCTCTGGATATGTTTTTTAAAAAATAGAATACATAGAAGCAGTTTTCCCATACACAGTGAGGCAGGCTTGTTTTCCAATTCCACTGTAATTGTGAAACATTTTATATATACATATATAATCCACGGACTACATATACACAACTGAACAGATGACACGAAGAAGCAAACACAGTAACATGGGAACATCCTTGTGCCTGTCACTGACCACACTCTTACTCTTCTTCCACGCCTCAGAATAAGCAGCATGGGAACCTCTGCTCTCACTGCAGTTTCACTATCTTTACCACCTAATTGTCCTCTAAACTTCTAAACACAACAAAATCATACTATAAAACAGGCACACCATCAGCGGAACACATACTGGGTTGTTTTTCAATAGTAATCTTCTGATACAAAAGAGGTAGACAGCCAGCTGTCACGAACAGTGAAGGGACCCACGTGGTGGGCTGGAGAGACGGCTCAGGAAGTGGTCAGCAGCACTTCCTGCTCTCCCACAGGTCACGCACTCGGTTCTCAGCACCCAGGTCCAGGGCTCACAACTGCTGTATCGCAATCTCCAGGGCATCCAACACTCTCTCTTCTGGCCTCCATGGGCACCAACACACAAACATACACACACTCCTGAACACGGTCAAAATATAATATTCAAAATAAAAATAATATAATTAGTTTATGTAAAGTTTCCAAATATTTACATTAAACTTGGAAGCACAACAATAAAACAAAAATTCAATGTATAAGCAAATCAGGTATCTTTAAAAAATTATAATTTATATCTTTAGCTGATAGCAAATGAAATTCAGGTTAAATAATAATGCCAAACAGGATAACAGAATTTGGATCACATCTTAATTCTATATGCTAAGGAATTCTTTAGTACACTAACATTCTTATTAAATAAAGGGCTTTAGACTCTACATTTAATTGTTAGCTATTTAATTCCATTAAGGTCCATTTTTAAAAGAAAGTTCGCTAAAAGAATTTGTTACCTTCTATAACAGTTAATTAGAAACCAAACATGAATCTCCTTAACTTACAATTTTTCCCAAAAGAAAATAAAACTTCAAAATTAGGGATGTTTATGATAAATCATCTCTGATCCATACATCTAAAGTCTGTAAAGCAAAATATTTAGAGATCAGCGATACCTATGTACATTACAGTAACTAAACTTCAAAAAGCTACTTTGGATACAGTAATGCACTTCTGTAATATGTGAAAATATATGAAAAAGCCTTAAGAAAATCCAGCACTCAGATAGGAGGACTGCAAGCTGAAGGACAGCCTAGTCTACATAATGAAACCCTGTCTCAAAAGGAAACAGCAAAACAAACAAACGAAATGTCTGTAAGACAATTTCCTATGAACAAATCTGTGGACACCTGAGGAAGAGGGTAGCAGAATGCTTGAAGGAGGGAGACTAGGGGTGCAAAGGTTCAGGTAGGCAGGATGGGCAGAGGCAGGGCAAAGAAAGGAGAAGTAGGGGTGGGTAATCAAACCAAAAATATGTAAGAAAGCCTTAAGAAAACCGGATATAATTTTAAAGAACTATGAACACTGGGGCATGAGCACTCACAACTCCAGTCAAGTGTTGTGTCCTAAGTTAATACAGAGACACCCTACACCACTATAAACATCAAGAAAACATGGCTCTTTATATGGTACTGACAGTGATACCTACCTATCTTATGACTCTTAAAGGAAAGATGCTCCTGAGAAACTTGTTTATAAGGAGAAGTATGAAAGGACAAGGAAGAAGAAACGCACACAGTAATGAGTAGGGAGGAATTGCCAAGAGTGCTTGAGCTTACTGGGTTGTTGGAAACCTCCATTAGAGCTTTCTGACTTATGCTTCATGACTCATACCCTCCCTAAACCCAACACGCGCGCGCACGCGCGCACACGCACACGCACACGCACACGCACACGCACACACATACGCACACGCACAAGGGAGGTACGGGAAGGACATGCTACACAAAAACTCAAAACCAGATGAATCCAGCAACCAGATGATTCCAAGAAGCCAGGACATTTTTGTCTAAGGTTTACTACAGGTTTTGGCATTAATTTATTAAGGACTGAGCAGATTTCTGTCACAGAAATCACCCTGTACACAACAGAAATGCCCTGTTCTGTGTGTCCACACCCTCCCCAGAAGAGCCCACTAAACAGTCCCACAGAGCTCAGTTCAACAGGTCATGGCGGGGATGGTGGCTGCGTCAGTGTTGGAAAACTCCTAAGCAGCAGCTGGCTCTACTGGACACACCCACTCACAGAGGCATTTTTAGACACCCCCCCCCCCCCCGAAGTCTAAATTTCTCAGCAGGATCTTTACCGTTTTCATTAAGACAGGTAGGTATCACTGACAGTAACAGTATAAAGAAAGCCATGGTTCCGTGGCATACATAATTAGGATATGTAACTTCACAGAACTTCACAGAACTCCCATGTTCTTCAGGAAAACACACACTACCCTGAGAGAGTGTTAGGAACAACAGACTACCCAGTGAGCTGCCAGATTCAGCCTATGTGACTCAGGTGAGTCACTGGAGTTGGGCACTGAGTGTGAGTCAGCTTTAAGCTTTCAGTCCTAATTGTTAGGTCTCAAAGAAATTTGGGACAAGTCCTACTCAGCCTGGAGAAGTAGTTACAGAAGAGATTATTTTGTCCTTATCATCAATAAAAGGCTGGAATGGTAGGTATCAATCCAGGACAAATCCCACTCAGTACAGGTGGCTCCTCCCAGCACTTCTCACCCAACCCCCTACCCTACACCTCTCCCTCCCAGGGCCTGGGCTCTCTCTTCCCCTCCTGGTATGATCCCCACATAACTCGGCCATTTTGGCTATACTGCTCTCTTGGTCTCTTGGCCTCAGCCGCTCCTCTTTCTCCCCCTCTCTCCTCTCCTGATCTGGCGGCCATGTTCAGCCTGGACTCTTCCCTCTGTCTGCTTTCTCTCTGATCTCTACAATACAAATGTCCTCCACACTGCAGGAAGTAGTAGTCATGTCCTCCTCCCTTTATTTCCTTTTCCATTCCCTATCTGCTTCTCTTTTTTTCCCCCAGAAAAGAAAAGCTTTCACTGTTGTGAATAGACGGTGGGGCCACTCCACAAAGCAGGTGGAGCAAACCCCAAGATGAGCT